AAAGGCTGCAAATTTAGGCCTATGCTCGGCACTTACGGCCTTTGAGCAGATAGGGATCTTTATCGTGCCACACCTGCTGTGACACGGGGCTTCGGTTTATACGGTCTCATCCGAATGTGAATAATTCAAAAAATAGATATATAACTTTCACAAAAGTCAATTGTTAAGAATTTTTTAAATGATATTTCAGACAATGATACTATAAAGTAAAGAGAGGGGTATACACCCCACGTACAACATGTTGCACACACCTCGGACACAACATTGATTTTTAGTCAATATCTTTATATACAAACTGTCTTATTTAGAGACAATTTGTACAAACATTTATATAGTAAACATGTATTTAACAATAATATTAAAGTGATGATAGAGCAAAGATTTCTTCTGATATTTGATCATAAACACAGTGTAGGTTCAATCTTGCTCCGATCCTCGGAATTGTGTTGAGGGGTTTGAGAAAACTAGAAGGTGTCCAGTGGATTCACAGGTATCCATATACTCCTTAGATAATGCTTTCTTCCGTAGGTTTATGCTTTCTGGCGTAAAATATCCGTAAGTTGAGAAAATGAATAAAGAATCTACATTGACCCTCTTTCTCTCGCTTCGGAAGCATACACCTTGCGCACAACATAGTATACACCCTGCATGTTGGGATATACTCGGTGTTAAATGAGGTAAGCCATTGACAAGCAAGTTGATGAAACATGAATATTCGTTTAAAGTCATCATTATGTAAGTTCTTTGGTCGATACAATGACTTTGTCAGCAAATCCAATTTATCATTAAGTCAAATGCTTACTGACGTCGTGCTAATGGTTAGTCCATTATTTTTACATTGAATTGACGATGGATTTTTTCGTTATTTTCCGATCATGACAAGGATCACACGGCGGATGTGACACGTCAGCAGGGGATTCCCACTCCTCCATAGCACATGATCCACACCTCTAATGTTTTGGAGGTCCGTGTTTGCTCTGCTCTTATTTTGTATTGCTATTGAATACTGTTCGTTATCTCAATATCCTTCTTCCATACAGATGTATATATGTAAGTTTAAATGTAAGAGCTAAGGGAATTGAATTCATATAGTTAAATAACGTTGCTTTTCTTGTTTCTATGCTATGTTTTTGGATTTTTTAAAGAAATCAAAGTTTATAGCTATCAGAAACGCATCATACCATTTTTGAAACAAACCTTTGAATCATAAAAAAAACACCTCAAAATACCGTATAAGAGGAAATTTTAGCGAGACGCAAATTTAGCGATTTGTCCTAAAAATTGGTATTTTATTTTTAGCGAGAAATAATTTTAGTGATTTTAAAGTGTTCACTAAAGAAGCTATTACAAATAGAACGCAGTTAATTTTTAGCGATATCTAATTTTAGCGATCTCAGCACCCTAGCTAATAATGCCAAAATTAAATCCTCGCTAAAAATTCTACTTATACGGTATAAGAATAAATTTATGCTCCTCAATATTCATTGGAACTCTGCAAGCCAAAAATAAATCCATACCAGATATATTGAAAGTGATGCTACTATTAGGATATGCTTTCAAATATATGTTTGAAAGAATTAAAATACATAAAAAAAATCCCCTAACTTGCATTGGAAAGCATGAAAAAATATCAGGAGACACATTTATAAAGTTTTATTGTATAAAAAAGTAGGGGGTCAAAATTCTATGGGGGTCATTTTTCAACGTGTGTGGAGTCGTAGAATTACTGGTCTTGAATAATTTTCTACAGTCGAAAAATGACCCTACTTATCGTGGAATATTACCCGGGGTCATTTTTCTACGTAGAAAAATGACCCCTTGGTCAATATTCTACGGGTGTCACTTTTCGTCGTTACACCGGCACTTAAATTCCTTAACATCAACATAAATTAACTATTGAATCTGAATCTTGATGAAAGCAGATACAAATCCCTCTTTCCTTCCATTTATAAGTATGAAAAATGCATACAATCACAAAAAGCAGGTAAACTGCATAGATATCCAAAGGAGTAAAAACCTACTATCTTTGATCTGTGTGCTAGCTATAGGCACGTACGTTGCAACGCATATAAAGAGGGGGGATGAAAAGGGAGGAGAGGAGAAAACCGAAATATTTTTTTGAATAATTTATATACAAATATATTTTTGAATATATGAAGCCTCTAAACTGCACTCCATTGAAAATTCTTTTCATGGACAAGTTAAAGTGAGGGAGGGTCAATTCTCAGATTCGATTCCTCCCCTTTTTTAAATCGTACTCAGTATGTAGGGTCTGAGTTATGGTGAAGATAAAAGATGCGATGGGAATAGGGACTTTGAACGAAAAAAAAATTCAATGTTAAATCAGCAACATATCTACATGCAATCATACAATATACTGAAAACAAAGGACAGCATTAGCGCCAACTGATATCATATGAAATTGTTTTGAATTTATCTCAATTAAATAAAAAGCATGTAAAAGCATGTAAATTTAAATTGCGATGTCAAACAAGTTTTATTATTTCTACCTAGCTTTTTATTAAATGAAGTAAATTATACCTATATTTCCTAGATTCTGCAATATGCTTGCAAAAGGGCAGATAATTTAATTACATGCATGTATTTTCAATGAACTGCATTATGTAATTGGCGGCATTACTCATAAAAAATGTTAGCAAAAAAGTAACGTCAAATTAATATTCTAGAATTTCACGTAAAATAACGTCATTTTGACGTCACTGAAAATGACACCAACACTGTGCGCAACGTCTATATATTTGTATTCATTATAGGGATGTCAACAAATATTCGAATATTCATTAGGTGAATTGATATTCGAATATAAATTAAAGGTTTGAATATCTGGATTTTAGATATACACGTATTGAAAAGAGGGGAAAATTTGGAAAGCTTTATCAAAAAGTGAATCAAGTTCGTACTTGCAGTAAGATTTGACTTAAGGGAAAGAAAGACCTTTAGCTAAAAGAAATACTTGTCGTTCAATTTTCTTTTATATTTTAAATATTATATATCTAATCAAGTATGTCCCGCATACCTTAAAGCAGATATATCTATATAGGTTCCTGGACATTTTTGTGAGATATTGAGTGGCAAATACTATACCCCACAGTGTCTAAGTGAAGTTTTGATCCTCAATGTTTCTGGGCCCTTTTATCGGTCCATAATTATGGATTTTTTTCAGCATAGATAAAAAAATATGTCAGCAAACATGTGTCTTTTAAAATATTTTAGAGTATGAATAAGGTTAACAATTAAAAATAAACCCAATATTCTTTGGTCACTCAGCATCTGGCGACAGAAAATTAAGTACATTTTAAGCCATTTAAACAACAAAAACATTATTTTGCAAAAAATCCTATTATTCCATATTTGAAAATTTACGTTGAAATGCGAGTTTGTCATGTTATTGATTAGCTGTAAAAATATCAATTGGTGAAGCTGAGCTCAATATTGCACAGGGCATAGTTAAACAAGCCATGAGCTTGAAAAAAAGTGTCATGATTATATTTCTCGAGTACGGAAAAAAAACTCAACTATGACGTCACACATTTGCAAAAAAGTGAAATAAGACATAAAAAAAAATACAAAAAATAAAACAACTATGTCAAAATTTTTATCGTGTTCCCTAATTCATAGAATATCCCAGCATGTACTGCCAAGAATCCGTTTTTATGATATTATAATTCCCGTGTTTTACCGTGTATAATCTTACTTCACTACGAGATTCTCTATTACGTCAGTGACTCGTTGGACGCGCAGTGTAGGGAAACAATAGCGTCGATCAATCTATTCCGTAATTTGATAATATTTGCAACAAAGTTTGAATCTTTTTAGATATTTTTTATACAAGATGGTGAACTCAAACAAACAGTCAAAAAATAATACACGTACAGTGATTTCAATCTTGTTTTGTACATATTTTATCAGAGATTATGACGTAATTAAACCGAGTCATGTTACCATGCATCCGTCGTTCCCTTAAAACAAATTTAAAAGTCGTTATAAGGAAATTGGCTAAAAGTAATTAATTTTAATTTTTTTTCCATAAGATAATTGTTCTGCGTGGTATAAATTTGTAAAAGTTATCAGTGTTAACTTGGTAAGACAATCAATTATTCTGGAACAAACAAATTCGAAAGAATCCTTTAAATTTTCAAAAAAAAATCATTTCGGATGTCAACTCTTACTATATTTTGTAAAAATATTTTAAGAATAACTGCAATTACAAAACTCTACATGAAAATTTATTCTAAAATAATAGCATAAAAGATATGTTGCTTGACAAGATAGTGAAGATATATATTATATTTTAAATGCAAAATGTATTATTTTATCGAATTTTCGAATGTAGTAGATACTGTTAATTCCTACATATATGTGTTGAATTTATTATCGCGTTATTTCGCGAGATGCACCGATCGCTAAACGAAATTACTCGCTTTTATTTGCCTGTGAAGGACTTCAAATCTTGACCTTTACTCGGCACTCAGATTGAGCAATGAGAGGTCTTTCTCGTGCCAAAGTCTGCCGCTGATACGGGGCTTCGATTTCTAAGGTCTCATCCAAAGGACAAAATATTCACTTAAAAAATCTGAGCGCATGTGAAGGAACAGTTGCTACCCATTTTTTATCGGCTTAGATCAGTTGCGACCGAGATTCGAACTCACGACCTCCTGATCACGAAGCGAGCGCTCTACCGAGTGCTCCAGCTCAGTCGGTACCGTTCGCAGTAGCTTAGTCGGTAGAACGCTCGCTTCGTGATCAGGAGGTCATGAGTTCGAACTCGGCCGCGACTGACCTAAGTCGATATTATCGAATATCAATTATTGACAATTTTGACATCCCTAGTTTATTATGAATTATAAAAAAAATCTCTTTCGTTTCTAAAAACATTCATACAAAAGGATTTAAAGTGAAAATGGGCAATCAATGAACTTCTTATTCAAATGTCAGTGATATATATTTGGGAGTTCTTAAAACATCTCTGTATTTTATAGGAGGAACAATAGATATCACCGTTTATGAAGTGCAACATAATCTTAACCTAAAGGAGCTTTACAAAGCTAGTGGAGGGTCAGGGGGAGGGACTCATTTAGATGAGGCCTTCAGACAAATGTTGATCAAAATAGTTGGAGCCCCCATCCTCAATGACTTTGCCCGCTCATATACAGATGATTATATGGACTTGTTTAGAGAATTCGAAACCAAGAAGCGTAACTTTACTGGTAACAAAAAAGACAAGGTCAACATAAGAATTCCAATATCTCTGGTAGAGACTTTTGAAGAGGACACAGGGGAGGATATAAAAGAGGCTACAGAGAATACCACATATTCAGGAAAAATAACATGGATTCGGGGCAAAATTAGAATAACAGCAGAAGTGATGAAGAGCTTCTTTGAAGAGGCAGGGGATCAAATTGTGGATCATGTTAAAGACGTATTAAAGAAACCGGAGATCTCAGGAACCAACAACATTATGATGGTCGGAGGATTTTCTGAATCACCTATTCTACAGGACATGATCAAGCAATCTTTTCCAGATATGAGAGTTATCATTCCCCCCGAACCAGGGGTTGCAGTTCTGAAAGGGGCAGTGCTGTTTGGACACAACCCTGTCACAATTTCCTCTCGTATTGCCAAATAAAGCTAATATAATCCACCTCAATCCAAGTATTGGAACAACTGAAAAAAAGGGATTCTCAGAAATATCACCGAAGACATTTATCATTAAATTAAACGAGTATGACAGAAATAAGTTTTCGCATTTTTAGCCGGCTAAGCAAAGTCCTGGCTAAAGGCGTTGTTGCAACAATTATTGAAATAACGACCACTACTGATATGATTATATCAATAGTGGTTGAAAGTGTATTTCAATAACAAACATAGTTAGTAACCACTATTGAAATAAAACCAGTATTGAAATAATTATATCAATATATAGTGGTTGAGAGTGCATTTCAATAGTAAATATAGTTAGCAACCACTATTGAAATTCGACCACTATTGAAATAATTATATCAATAGTGGGTGAGATTGCATTTCAATAACAAATATAAATAGTTACCACAATTGAAATACGACCACTATTACCACTATTGAAATAATTATTTCAGTAGTCGGTGAGAGTGCATTTTAATATAGTAACCATAGGTTTCAAACACTATTGAAATACTACCAGTATTGAAAAAAAACGTTTCACCTCATCAGCAACTTTTGAAATAATTATTTCAATATTTATTGGATTCACTGTTCAATACATTATTGAAATCAATAATTTAATCAATTTTGACATCTTTATTTCAAAACTGAACATTATTTATTAGTGGTTACAATCTATGTTTGTTATTAAAATGAATCTCACCCACTATTGAAATAATTATTTCAATAGAAGTCGTATTTCAATAGTAGTTACTATCTATGTTTGTTATTGAAATGCACATTCACTCATTATTGAAATAATCATTTCAATACTGGTCGTATTTCAATAGTGGTTATTACCTAAATTTATTATTGAAATGTACTCTTAACCACTATTGATAGGATTATTTCAATAGTGGTCGTGTTTCAATATTGATTATTACCTATGTTTGCTATTGAAATGCACTCTCAACCACTATTGATATAATTATTTCAATAGTGGTTGTACTTCAATAGTGGTTACTACATGTAACTTTGCTATTGAAATGCACTCACAAGTGGTCGTTTTTTCAATAGTGGTTTCAACAAGGCGTTATGATCGCCTATCTAACTGTAAATAGTTTTTAAAAAATTTTAACACCCCAGTGTTGCAACCACTATTGAAATAACGACCACTATTGAAATAATTATATCAATAGTGGTTGAGAGTGCATTTCAATACCAAACATAGTTAGTAACCACTATTGAAATATGACCACTGTTGAAATAATTATTTCAATAGTGGGTGAGAGTGCATTTCAATAACAATTTTAAATATTAGCCACCATTGAAATACGACCACTATTGAAATAATTTTATCAATGGTGGTTGAGAGTGCATTTCAATAAGATAACCATAGGGTTCAACCACTATTGAAATACGACCACTTTTGAAATAATTATTTAATAGTAAGGAAGAGTGCTTTTCAATATGATTACCATAGGTTTCAATCACTACTGAAATACGACCAAATTTTTTATCCAAAATTTCACAAAAATTGGATTTGGGGTGACAAATATATCGGTTAATAATTAAAGTGTAAATTAATAAGGATGGTTTTAGTGAAGCAAAATTTTGAACATCACAGAAGGTTAATAATTTCTTTATATTCTAGAAATTTATTATTTGCATCATTTTCAATTTAATTTAATTTAAACAATATTTTATTATGAAAAAAACATAATTGGATCATTTTCAATGAAATCAGACCAAACATATATACCAATCCAGGCATCCATATTTGGTTTTTATCATCTGTCCTTAAAAAATGCTTTAGATAGTTATTGAAATTATACATTTATAATTAAAAAAGTGATTTAAATAATTGTTTTTGGAAGTTGCTGATAATACTTCAAAACTAAAAGCATAATCTAATCCAAATTGAAATCTTTCTTTCAAAAGTGAACATTATTTCAATAGTGGTTGCAACCTATGTTTGTTATTGACATGAATCTCACCCACTATTGAAATAATTATTTCAATAGTGGTTATCACTTATGTTTGTAATTGAAATACACTCTCAACCACTATTGATATAATTATTTCAATAGCGGTTGTATTTCAATAGTGGTTACTAACTATGTTTGCTATTGAAATGCACTCTCAACCACTATTGATATAATTATTTCAATAGTGGTCGTATTTCAACAGTGGTTACTAACTATGTTTGCTATTGAAATGCACTCTCAACCACTATTGATATAATTATTTTAATAGTGGTCGTTATTTCAATAGTGGTTGCAGCACCCCAGTCTTTGCAAATGTTCATCAATATTTTTTAAAAGATGTTTTGAGAATTTAATTGAAAGACGAATAAAATACATATCTTATTAAGGTATAATCGCGATAGAGAAATGTATGTATATACGAGGGGTGTTAGAAAAGTTCGAGGACAAGATCTATTGTGAGCGCGGTATTTCCTCCAAACCGGTCAAACTTTCCAGATAAAATCTTTACCTTTTCTCCAATAAATATACAAGAAGTTGGTGCTCTCCAATGATTATTGAAAAATATACAGCTTTTTTATTTTGATAAAACTAGCTTCACGGAGCATGCTACATTTTGGCACGTTTACATCACAAAGACTCTTTATTAAAATTAAAAATTGCACAATTGTAGCGCAAAGAGTTTTATGATATTTTACCTGCCGCTAAAGTATTCATGAAACGTCACTAGGAGAAATTTTTAACTGAATTGGAGGGTATATGACTGTTTTATAGCCGTTTATAACTGGTCAACGCTTAAAAACACAGCCAAAAATCGGAACGTCATTGAGCGTCATGGAGCACTGCACTTCGTAAAAATTACGTATGCAGACTGGAAAATGTCTAAAAAGATAATTATTAACATGTTCCAGATGCTGCCGGGAATTTCCTACACCCACAAAAGATAAGTTTTCAAATGATTGTAGCTTCATAAGAATAGAAGGATTAACATTTTGAATGATTAAGTCCATCGATGCTTCAATACCCCCGTATCGCATTGACGTTGCGTTGCGCCTATATAGTTATGCACAGTTTCCATACCTGATCGATAAACTGCATAGACTTTTTGTAAGATCTCAATAATATCAGAATCAGTACAAAAGATATTATATTGAAGAAAAGAAACATGTCTTGCTATAGATATTCAATTTTAAAGTAGAAAAAACATAGAAAAATCTGAAGAAATGAAAGATTTATAGAACCGCAACAAACTTTACCGGTTCAAATCTTGTTGTCACGTCGCCTTACGTCAAGTGATTGCTCCTTGAACCCCATGACCTCATAGTAAAATTTGTTGTAAATTTTCAAGATTTTATTATATGGACCTGATTTTTTTTTACATCCCAATTAACAAAATGTACGAATTTATTCCGAAATAGGTCATACTTCACAGTACTCAATAGATTTTTCCGTAATTCAATGTTTCCGCAAACTTTTTTAACGACCCTCGTAAGCTGTAATTAATGCATATCATCGCGAACTTTTTTTCAAAAGCGAGGGCTTTTCGAAGGATACTATTGGCCTTATGAATTGTTAAAGAATTTCATTAATTTTCCCGTCACTGTGTAGTAGAGGTACTCTTATTTAAAATAATAAAAGTTGGAGTGATTTAAAATGAAATAGATATTAAATATAAATTAAATAAACTAAATAAAGTATAATAAGTTATAAATGACAGTTTTCCGTTAAAGTTTATTCTTTTCCGTTTTTACTAACTTGGGTAGTTATATACATGTAGATATACGCCCCTTTGGATCCACACCTGTACATACACTTTTACATGACCACATACATATTTATTGGTCAAGTTTTGAAATGCTTAGTTTTCATTGGTTAGTGTTTTGGTCTTTGTGGGGTAGTGAGTTTTATTCAGTTTAGACTCTAGAATTCTGATTTTAAATGGAGAAGACATAGCTTTGTTTTTTGCTGACTTTAAATCTATTTGCAAAGACTTGAGACCTTGGACAATTCCTGAAATGTAAGTTTTTACTTGTTTTATGCTATTACATATGTTTTCTATAATATTATGTTAAAATGTGGAAAAAAAAGATATTTTATCTTTAAATGTTAACTTATTGAGTTATCTGTCCGTCTATTCAGATATTGATAACTGTGACGGAATTTTTCTGTAAATTAATTTGTATATAAACCTAGATATACTTTAAAGTAATGATTTTGGTAATCAAGATAATTTAAATATCTATTGATTATGAGAAAGGTATTTGTATAGAGTAAGTCCTTATCATTACATTTATTGTTCGTAGGTATCTCCATATATAACGAATATGTAAACTTGCATTGGAGAAAATTCAGTTCCATAGATTTGTATGTCTATCTGTATAATTATATATTTTTATGATTTGTAAAGATATTAGAAAGATAACTCTTCACACGATTGTAAAGTGTAATTACATTATAACAGTTAATTCCCTTATATCATGTATAAAGTATATGCTTCATGTGTTATCATAGTGAATGATGATAATGCAATTGTAAAAGGGAAGACAGATAATTTGTTATATTTTTATAATCGGAAAATTTAATTGAAATTATATTTTGTACATATTTTTATGATGCAATTTGTGTATTGCAGAACTTCCTTATATATATTTCATTATATCCATTATTCAATATTCCATATCAGCTAAAGATGTCATAGTAATAAATATATAAAACTTCAACTGGTGTTTTCCATCATACTGCCGGGAATACCCGCTACAGCTGCTATGTAAGTGGTTGTCTTCTCTGTTGTGTTTTAGAAAAAACAAAAAATAAATTAATAAACTGGAGTTTGAAATTAATATGAGATATGCATGAAGTCGACTAACAATGTCTAGTTCTAGTGTTCATATATACCAACTTTTGTATTGTATATACATGTAAATAGTAGTTTTTTGGCAAGTTTTTGTAATGTAGATATGTTTTAATGCACCCCATGTTTTGATTTGTGCGACTAAAGTGAACTGAACATCTAGTTTGCAATAGAAATACAGCGAAAATTAATTGCATGGACCCTGAGGTGCACACAGTAAATACATAAGCAAGGTTAAACCGGATGCCATGGGCAAACGACAGGCTACGCATTGCGCGAGAATGCTAGAGAGTTCGCACCTAAAG